GCTCCCCCCCCCCCCCCCCACCGCGCCGCCCGCTTGGCCCTTGGCTTGTCGCCACACTTCACCCACCCAACCCGCCAACATGGCCACCGGGGTCCTTTCCTACCGCGGCTCGGCCATGTTCCGCATGCGCCTCGTCACAGCCACACTGACAGGCAAGTCTGTTCTCATTGAAGACATCCGCGTCGACGAGCAAGAGATTGGCCTCCGTGGTACGCCTTCCCCTTCCCCCCCCACCCCCTCGCCCTCCCCGACCGAGGGCAGGTAGCCCATCCATCATCATCCTGCCACACTCACCACCCTCTCACCCCCCCCCCCTTCCTCCCTCCCCACCACACAGACTACGAAGCCGGCCTGCTTCGCTTGCTGGAAAAGGTGTCGAACGGATGCCGTGTGGAGATCAATGAGACCGGTACCTCTGTTCTGTATACGCCTGGTGTGCTGACCGGAGGCAAGTTCTCCCATGACTGTGCTCTCTCCCGCGGCATTGGCTACTACGCAGAGGCGCTGTTTGTTCTGGGGCCGTTCTGCAAGAAGCCGATCTCCGCCGTCCTCCGCGGCGTCACCAACGAGAGCCTCGACACTTCTGTCGACGTCCTTCGCATGGTCGTCGTCCCCGTCCTCCGCACTTTTGGCCTCGAGGCCGACGCTTTTGTGCTCAAGATCAACAAGCGCGGCGCCCCGCCCGGCGGCGGCGGCGAGATCAAGCTCACCATTCCCACGGCCAAGGCTCTGAGTCCCGTGCTAAAGGTGGCTGGCGGCGAGATCCGCCGCATCCGTGGCGTCGCCTACACAACCCGCCTCTCACCGCTCTTTGCCTCGCGCATGGTCGACGCCGCAAAGTCGGTCCTCGTCGACTACATGGCCGACGTCTTTATCTACACCGACCACTACAAGGGCTCCGGCGGCGGCGCCTCGCCGGGCTTTGCCATCTCGCTCGTCGCAGAGTCGGAGACCGGTGCCCTCCTCCCCGCAGAGCTCACCGCCTCAAAGGGCGACATGCCCGAGGCCATCGGCGAGGCCGCGGCTCTCCTACTGCTGGAGGAGGTCGCACGCGGCGGCGCCATCGCTACCGTCATGCAGCCGCTCGTTCTCATGTACATGGCCTTTTCATCAGAAGACGTCTCTGCCGTTCGCTTCGGCACCCTCTCCAAGTACGCCATCTCGGTCCTCCGCCTCATCCGCGACTTTGTCGGCGTAGTCTTCAAAATCGAGGCCGACCGCACCACAGAGACCGTCTTGCTCTCATGCATGGGTTCAGGACACGCGAACACTGCCCGCGTCGTGCAATAAACCATTACTCGCCGCTCTCGTGCTCTTGTGCACACAACCGGTACAGCTCATGCGCATCCGCCTTGGTCAAGTTTTCTGGTTGTACTCTGGCCACAACAGCGGCATCAGCCGATCGCCAATCTCGCGCATCGCCTCCGGCGGAGGAAGCCTGACCAAAACACGGAGCTATTACGGAAGCGTAATCTTGGTACAGAGCAGAACGTCGCCCTCTCCACAGTCGGATTGCCAGCCTCGGCCTGAACCTGCTTCACCATGAGTAGCAAAAGATCGCGCAGCTGGCCGCTAAACCCTCCCCGGCGCCGAAACTCCTCTCGTATCTCGCTCGCCGTCATGTATAGCAGCGGCACCGTGCCAAGCCCCTTGCTCGCCTTGGCCATTGCCCTGCCGGCACCAGCCCTCGCCAACATGGCCGAAGAGAAGACGCCAGTCGACACGCAATCCTTCATGACACATCAGCCTCTGGCCACGGAGGCGTGGCGATCCATGAGAACAGGACCATCAGGAGCTCATTGGGAAGGTGCGGAAGAAAAGTGGTAGACGCCGCGGCATAGGCGTTGTCGCGCCGCGCCCGCGCTATGATCAGCACCTGCTCGATAGCCGCACGGACTCGAGAAGGGAACCACTTGTGGAGCTCATAGCTCCATTCCGTTGTCAGCGCCGCAATGCCCGCCCACCACTCCATCCACCGCAGCGAGAGTGAGTCGCCCCGGATGCGCGACGCGACGATGCTAGTGCACGTCTCAAAGTCGATGCTATTGCCGTGCATCGCATTGTGCGCGGCGAAAAGCCGGAGCGCCGTCACCCGGTTCAGCGCACCGGCGGCGACAACGTCCCGAGCTGAGAGAGTACCCACATGGGCGAGTACAAGCTTCACCACCTCGGCATCGGTCTCCTCGACGGCAAGTCGGAGCCCGTGCTGCGGGCTAAAGTTGGGTCCTCTTGCCGCCGCCACTGCCAGCACCGTCTCAAGCGACCCGCCCCACACCGCCACATCCGCTAGCGACATGCCAAACGCCTGCTGTGGGACCTCGATGTCAGGCTGCGCGAGAAGCCATGACACAACATCGACGTGCCCACGCTCTGTCGCCACACATAGCGGCGTGAAGCCACGCGAGTCGAGCGCGTTGAGCTCGCAACGTGCCTCCTCGACAAGCCACCGGACTACATCCATGTGGCCCTCGATGCATGCAATGTGCAGCGCAGTCGAGCCGTCCCTCGCCTTGGCGCGGCACTCGTGCTCGTCCCACAGCCACTTGACCATCTCCAGATGGCCCTCCTGGGCCGCTGCCAGCGCCGAGGTGTACCCACCGCGCGCCGCGCCGTGCACGTTGGCGCCATATCCCAAAAGTAGCTCGGCCACATCACGATGGTTGCAAAAACACGCCGCAATGAGCGGCGGCGCGAGCCGGGACGATCCGACCTCCACATCGGCACCGGCCTCTACCAGCATCTGCACTATCTCGGCGTTGCCGCTTCGCGCCGCCATATACAGCGCCGACGCCTGCCACTTGATTGCCACAGAGAGCGTCTGCATCGACGCCACCTTGGGATCCAGAAACCCAAGATACTCGGTCGACCACGTCAGGTACACCATCCTGTCGACATCGATGCCCGGCGTCGCCAAGAGCTCTTCCACTAGGTCCACCTCGCCGGCATCCGCCGCCCGCACCAGTCGCTCCTCCATCGTCAGTACAATCCCGGCGGGATCCACCCCGACCGTGTGTGGCGGCAGCGACTCGCGTATCTCGGCAAACGTGTGACGATCAGCCTTGTCTGCAGAAGACATGGCGCTGGCTTCCACCGCCTCGGCCTCCTCCCACATGTGCCGCGGCAATGGCGCCATAGGCAGCGCTCGCCACACCTTCTCTGGCACCACCTCGGCGCCCGCAGCATCCGTCATGCCTGCCACGTCCTTGCTGCTGTCTTCACTCATGACGAGGCGAGTGAGCACCTCCACAGCACCGCCCAGGTACATCTGCTCCGGGCCTTGTCGTCGTGTCTACTGTGAGGTAGGCTCACCACCCAAATATTTTCTCCTCACCCCCACCCCCACCCGCCACCCTCCAACCCCCCACACACAACCCTACGATCCCTCCACCCTCTCTCCCTCCCCCCTCTTTCCCTCTTCCACACCCTCCCCACCACCCAACTCGAGTCGACTCGACATCAACATGGCGGCTTCTATGCTCAGCGCAGGTGTGACCGACGTAGCGTCTGCCGCAGGCTCGCTCCTTGCTGCGGCGTCGTCAGCGTGGTCGTCGTCACGGACGGCGGCAGTGGCCAAGGTCCTCTCGGCGAGTCTGGTGGGTCTCGGCGCAACGAACCTGCTGTCGTACATCATTCCGCAGGTCTATGTCCAGAACATCGCCGGCGTGCAGCAGCTCGGTCGCAAGTACAAGACAAAGTGGGCGGTCGTAACCGGATCGTCGTCGGGCCTTGGCGAAGCCATCGCCGAGAAGCTCCTCTCCCAGGGCACCAACGTCGTCCTGGTTGCCCTCGCCAACGCCGTCCTCGACAAGACCCATGACCGGCTGAGCCGCGCATACCCACGATGCGAGGTCCGCAAGGTTGGCGTCGACATGTCCAAGTCGGATGCCTGCCTTGCTGCTGTCGCTGCTGCCACCGCTGACATCGACGTCGGCCTTCTGTTCAACAACGCGGGCTACGTCTACCTAGAGTCGTTTGAGCACGCCGTCATGGCCAAGCAGATCGCCAACATCGAGGTCCTTGTCCTCTCCTCGGTCAAGCTCACCGACCACTTTTACAAGCGCATGATCGCCGCCGGCCGACCGGGCGCCATCGTCTTTACCTCGTCGCAGGCCTCGTTCTTCCCCTCGCCGCTCTCCACCGTCTACTCGGGCTCCAAAGCCTTCATCGCCTCGTACGCCCAGGCGCTCGCCGTCGAGGCCCAGCCCCACGACATCGACGTCATGTCGCTGCAGCCTGGCTACATGCGCTCCAACTTTATCGACGACCTGCCCGACCTCAAGCTCTGGAACTACCTCAACATGATCGGTCAGTACCCCGAGGAGGTGGCGGACAACGTGTTCCGTGCCGTCGGCCGCGTCACTCTCCTCGACTCGGGCGCCTTCTCATGGGGCTCGCGCCTCGTCACAAAGGTCCTCGACCTCAACCCGCTTGTCTCGGCCATCACCTACTTTTCCAACATGGACTCAGAGTACCAGTCGTTCCACGGCGCGCCCAAGTCGTCGGCCTCGCGGACTTCAACCGTCAAGCCCAAGCCGGCCTCCGCCGCTGCGCTCTCCGCCGCCGGTCTCCCGACCCCTGTCCTCCGCTCCAAGCTCTAGCCGCCAGCCAACTGCCAGCCCCACTCTGCCAGCCTCACGACACCACGCAACCGCCCTTGTCGCCATCGCCCTTGCCCTTGCCCTTCCCCTTGCCCTTCCTCTTGTACTTGCCCTTGCCTGCGGCCTTTCCCGGGCGCCCGCCCCGCTCCCAGCATCTCTGCCACCGGCGCTCTCGCTGGCATCGTTCCGCGACTCGCGATAGGTGACAACGTGGGCGGTGACAACCGGCGCCTGGACTCCAACCTGGGCCTGGGTCAGCTGGATGCCAGCCATGTCGGCGGCGATACGGTAAAAGGTCGAGTTGATGCGGTCGCCGGTCTTGGCCGAGACAAAGAACGAGTACATGTTGTTGTCCTGCGCAAACGCCTTGTGCTTCGCCAGCTTGGTCGCCCGCATGTGCGACAAGTCCGACTTGTTGCCCACCAGCGCCATGTACGGCATCGGCCCGCGGCCGGCAAACGACGCCTTGGCCACGCCCAGCCAGTCCTCCAGATTAAGAAACGAGTCGACCGATGTGATATCATACACAAACAGAATTGCATTGGCACCATAGATGTAGTTCGGCAGCATGTTGCCGCCCATGTTCTGCCCGCCAATGTCCCACAGCGAGAGACTCGCCTCGGTTGCGTCCGGCAGCTCCAGCTGCTTGGAGAACCAATCCAGCCCAATCGTCTGCTTGTACGACTTTGCAAACGTATCATGACCAAACCGATGCGCAATCGATGTCTTCCTATCCTCCACCATACCCACGCCCACGCCCACGCCCACACCCATGCCCACGTCCGCACCATTCAATCGCCCGCCCCACCCTGATGAGTCAGCCCCGCCTCACCCGCCCTTCCGGCCACCACATCCGCCTACACCCACCCACACACACACACACACACACACACACACACGCACATACCCCACAGACCCATCCCCGAGCAGAATGACCTTAAAGTGCATCTGCTCCAGGTCCGACGACGACGACGAGGCAGACATGGCTCCGTCAGACATGCCTTACGCGCGTGAGTGACGTGTGTCTCCCCACCCGCGCCTCGCTCTCCGCGCCAGTTCTCGCCAAGACCGTTGCTGATCGCTGCATGGCGTGGCTACCGCGACACGAGTCCACCCAGGCGCGCTTTTACTCATCATCAGCTCGCTCGACGGCCTGCTGATGGCACAAGGGTGCGGAAGACGTTGGCAAACATGTAGCTGGCAAAGCCGATGTAGAGCCAGCGGAACCAGACCATTTGTGAGGCGTGGATCCGCATGGCCGAGAGGGCGCGGAGCCACGAGCGCGGGCCGGAGACGACACAGATCTTGCTCGCATCGAGCGCGTCCAAGTAGAGCAGCGGCAGCAGTGCCAGCCAGCCCAGATACTTGCGGCTCCATGAGACCGAGTCGAGGGCGAGTAGCGCCACAACACCACGGGGTGGTGCTTCCGCCATCGACGCCACAGCCCGCGCCACCGCGCGATGATTGACGTGGCCCGAGACGCCGTAGTCATCAAACGAGGCGACGACTACCTCTACGCCGTCATCGCCACCCGCAGCACGGACCGCAGCTTCAACATGTGGCACCACATCATCCACACGCCACTCCTCGTTTGGGCCGTCTGGCAGCGGACCCACATCGACCCGAGCCAGACCCAGCTCGCTCCCGACCCGCTCCAGCTCCTTACTCCGCACCTTGCCGAGACCATCGTACCCGCCATCCGAGAGGCAACAGACCGACTTGGGACCGGGCCAGTGTAGCAAAAGTGGAGCAAAGAACATGACCTCGTCATCCGGATGCGCAGTTACCACCACAAGTGCCACATCGTCCCCGTCTGCCCTGCATCGCCCGCCATCGTTGCCGAGCACAGCCGTCGTCAGGGGCGTCCGACGGGCGCGCCGAAGCGCGGTGACCACACCGGCGACAAAGAGTACCACGTTGCAGCCCGCGAGCACAGCCTTGAGTGTCCAGAGCTCGTCGTCGAGTAGAGAAGAGAGCATGGCGAGGGTGAGGGAGTGGAGTAGCGAAGCCGAGACCGAGGCGACGCCGGACGACCGGCACGCGGCCACGCTGCTCTTGCTGGTGTACTTTACTGGCGCTCGTCGCGGCATCGACCTGTCAACCATCCTTGCTGGTCTCCTGGTTGGAAGCATGGACAATCGGCGGTGACGCGGGCTTGGCATTGGTTGCTTGCCGGTCGGCTTGGCCTTCCGGCTTGGCCTTGGCCTTTGGCTTGATCTTTGGCTTGGCATTGGCCTTGGCCTTGGCCTTTGGCTTGATCTTTGGCTTGATCTTTGGCTTGATCTTTGGCTTGGCCTTGGCCTTGGCCTGGGCCTTTGGCTTGATCTTTGGCTTGGCCTTGGCCTTGGCCTTGGCCTTGGTCTTGGTATTGGTCTTCGTCGACGCACCAGGTTTCGCCTCGCCGACTGCCTTTGTCACAAAGCCCTCGCTGGCCATGGCAGCCTTGGCGGCCGCGACCTTGCGGCGGTGGGACTTGATGCTTACAATCTGGTCCGCCCGAGCCACCACATCGTGCTCGTCGAGGTGAGCGAGGACGGCGGAAAGTACGGCGGGTGACGCAAAGTTGAGCCGCTGTCTGATGTCGAGGCCTGTGGCGACGGCAAACGCCTGTGCACCCTCAACGATGGCGCCGGCGAGCGCGCCAGGCACGCCGCAAATCGCCGCACCCACGGGTGCTGCCGCTGCGCGGGTGATGGTGGCCACAAGCAGCTGCACCTCGCTGGCTGCCATGCCTGCCGCGGTAACAATGCTCGCTACCGCAGTACTGCCGCTCTGGAGGAGGATCTGCTCGCCAGAGACGCTCTCGATGGCGGAGGCGAGGACGTTCTGTCGGAGACTGGAGCTCGAGTCGCCGCCATCGAGACAGGCGGGGAGCTCGGCGAGTGAGCTGCCGGCAGCCTCGGCGTGCACTGCATGTGCAAGGACGCCGAGCAGGCGCGAGTCGATGAGCAGCGAGCCAAGCTTGTCTTGGCACTTTGGCGCGGCAGCGTCGTGCGGTGAAGTGATGAGGATCTCGCCGTGCCACAACGTCGCCGCATGCTGCAGCACCTCGAGGTGATTCATGGCGCGCTTGGTGCTCATTGCCGCGAGCCCCCAGTGCGCCTGTGCAACTGCTGGTGTCTGCATGGCCGTAAAGAAGCAACCGGTGGCCCAGTACCACGGAACGGCGGCGCAGACGACCGCGGCAAAGGCACGAAGCGCGACGCCGGCAGACCGGTCCATCTGCGGGACCAGCGCCACCACCGGAAGAAGAGACACATTTCCGACTGCTTTCTTCAGCGCCGCCACGACCGTGGCTTGGTTGCCAGCTTGGGTCTGATGCCGGATGACGTTGTACACAGCCTTGTTGATCTCGCCAAAGGCCGTCTCGACCGCAGCCCGTTGACTTGCCTGCCACGCAAAGCCACGGAAGAAGATGTCTCGGAGTGAGGAGCTGAAGCTGCGGGTAATGAGCAGAAAGTGTGCCCAGAACATGTCGACCGGCATGGCGTCAAAGATCTCCGCCGTGCCAAACTTGTCGCCGAGCGCCTCCAGCGGCCGCAGCACCGCCGACAATCCGGCCACCACCTGATGCTCGTGGTAGCCATTGACTGCGGTCACCACCTTGCTCTCTACCGACGCTAGGAGGCTCGCCACCACCTCCTTGTCCACCGGCATCGTTTGCCCCGCCGATAATCGAGGCGATGCCGATGACGACGGCGCAGTCGATGGCGGAGCCGGCGCTGCACCGGTTGGTGACCACTCTGGCACAGATGCCAGATCGCGGCGAGCGATCTCCATCCACGTGCTCATCGCCAACAAACTGTGTCCGCCCATGGGTCAGCAGCCGACGACGACGCGTGTGAGAGCTGTATTGTGAGGTCACTGCTCAGCTCACCCGCGGCGACGAGGGTGACGAGGGCGACAAGGCCGACGAGGGCGACAAAGGCAGCAGCGGCGAGACGGGTGCCGTGACACTCTCAAAGATCCAGCTTGCGCAGCCTTGACGTCGCCGTCGGGCACAACCTGGTAGACGCCAATGGGCTGGCGGGGAGAGCCGTACCCTCTTCCCGCTCTGGGCAATTGGTCGAGAGACGACCGCCGGACAGAGGCCAAGCCAATGCGAGCGGCGGCAGACTGGTGGCCGGCCGACGACAGGGCGACAGCCTCTGCTTGGGCGGCGAATTCACCCTTGGCGACATGTACGGACGCTACATACTGTGACTACGAATAGATCTTACTGTGCTACATGTCGCTCCCAAGTTGGCGCTCCGCAAGGGCGACAGCATCGAGACAACCAAGGAGCCAAGCGCGGCATGGCTGGCCAAAGCACAGAACGGCGCAGCTTTACATCTGATCTCAACGACGACGCGACGACTTGCCCTTGCGTGAGCCCTTACGCGAGCCCTTGCCCTTGCCCTTGCCCTTGCCCTTGCCCTTGCCCTTGTCCTTGCCCTTTCCATCGGTCTTGCCGCTTCCGGTGTTCCAGGCATCCTTGATGCGCGAGGCTGCCGTCGACTTGCCCTCAGGCTTGGCATCGGCCATGAGGTTGGCGCGACGGATGTTGTCGACCTCGTGGGCAACCTGGACGGTGGAGCACGGGGCGAGGAGGCAGCCGGTGCAGATGTCAGTACAGCAGTTGCCGTCGATGCGCTGCTGCTCGCGGACAATGTTGCGGACAAGTGCTGGGGTGGTGCAGAGGACGTTGAAGCACCAGTCGGACGAGTCGTACGATGCCCGGACCTGGGCCGAGAAGCACGGCATGCAGACGCAGGCGCGGCAGAACGGGCCGAGGCCATCGTGGCACACATCGCAGGAGCGGATGGCCCACGCGCCGCCATGCCGGCGGCCACTGACGTTCATCCGCGACCGCTTGGCGTTCCGCCGCGACGCCTTGGTATGCTTGGGCTTGACCTCGCCGCGGACCGAGGTCTCGAACAGCATCTGGCGTGCCATGCACGGGAGGCAGAAGCAGGCGGTGCAGATGTCGGCAGTGCAGGACGAGTCGATGCCGTAGCCCTCGCGCATGATGTTCCGCGAGGCAGCCGGTGGAGCACAGAAGAGAGTAAAGACCCAGTTGGTCCGCGAGTACGCGTTCATAGCCGATGCCACGGCGCAGCATGGGCAGAAGAGCGCGTACAGGTTGTCGCAGAACGAACCCTCGCACGAGCACAGCGCAGAGGTAAAGTCAGGCCGCTCAGAGTACGACAGCTCGTCCGAGTAGCTGCTCCCGCTACTCTTGCTGCTTCCATCATACGAAGACGACATCCTTGTTTGTTTCACCTTAGACTCAAGTATACTTTCCACCACCACCACACGCCCATCGCCGTCTCGCTGTCCCGCTGTCCCGCCGTCTTGCCGTCTCGCCGAGCATACCTGGAATGGCCGCCCGCCACCAGCCACCAGGCCACCGGCCACCGGCCACCGGCCATCAGCCACCAGCCACTAGCCACCAGCCACCGGCAACCGGCCACCGGCCATCGGCCACCGGCCACTCCACCCCCCCCCCTG